TATTCCGCCACAACAGGAAATCCTTTTGTATTCCGCCACAAAAGGAATCTTATTGTAATTCATATGGATACTGGAAACAGGGTGTTTTCAAAGAGATTCAGGAAATTTCAACTAAAACAATGAAAAACAATTGGTTTCATTTGTGTTTTCACAGAGATTCAAACGTTTTTTTTGTGTTTCCTCTCTCTTGTTCTTTTATAAGTTGCCAGGCTCAGAGATCCAAGAGATTTTAATGGTTTTCCTGCTATGGCTAGTTTTCTTTTCCTATTATAGATTTTTTGTTTTTGTTTTGTGTTTGTCATATATATGTATAATAATTGAAAACACTGTGACAACATGTTTTCTTTGTTTTTTTTTTCATTAGACTATCACTGAACACATGGTGGTTTCACAGAGATTGTCAACAATTTCTCATAAAGCTATTGCGTATCTGTGACAACCCAGGGTTTGCGAAGTTTGTTGTAATAAAACAAAAAGAATACCATGCCTTTTTTTCTCTTCCTCTTCTTCCTCCACATCGTAGGAAACTCGTAGGACATCCATCTAAAATCTCCGAGATCTCTGGGCCTGGCAATGCACAAATATTTTAAATTAGAAATCTCTGGGTCTTTGTGAAAACACAGATGCAACCAATTGTTTTTTTCATTGCTTTAGTTGAAAATCTTAGAATCTCAGTGAAAACACAATGTTTCCAGTATCCATATGAATTACAGTAGGGTTCCCTTTGTGAAGGAATTCAAATGTATTCCCTTTGTGGTGGAATACAAATGGATTCCCTTTGTGGCCGAATACAAAGGAATTCCTTTTGTAGCGGAGTACGCAGGATTCCCCTTTGTTGTGGAATACAAAAGGGTTTCTTTTGTGGCGGAATACAACAGGATTTTCTTTGTGCCGAATACAAAGGGATTCCTGTTGTAGCGGTATACAAAAGGATTCCCTTTGTGGCGGAATATGAAAGAATTTGATGTGTGGCAGAATGCGAAAATATTTCTTCTGTGGCGGGCTACAGAGGGATTTCCTTTGCCTCCCGCCGCGTTTCTCTCTTCTCTCTCTCTCTTCTCTCTCTGTCTAAATCCTTTTGTATTCTGCTACAACAAGAATTCTTTTGTATTCCGCCATAAAGGACATCCTTTTGTATTCTGCTACACAAGGAATTCTTTTGTACCCCGCCATACATGGAATTCTTTTGTATTCCGCAACAAAAGAGAATCCTTTTGGATTCCGCCACAAAAGGAATCTTATTGTAATTCATATGGGTGCTGGAAACATTGTGCTTTCACAGAGATTCAGAGAATTTCAACTGAAACAATGCAACACAATGTGTTACATGTGTGTTTTCACAGGGATGCAGATATTTTTATATAAAAATATTGTGTTTTCATTGCCAGGCTCAGAGATCTCATTCTATATATATATATGTATATATATATATATTTATATATATAAATGGTTTTCATTTATACACGCACACACATATATATACATATATATATATATATATATATATGAAACGCTGTGAACACACATGTTTTCTTTGTTTTTTCAGGAGACAATCATTGACAACCTTGTGTTTTCACGGAGGTGGTCAACAATTTCTCATAAAGTTATTAAATGTCTGTGAAAACACATGGTTCTCAATTATTTTCCAATAAAAACAAAGACAACCATGTGTTTTCACAGCGTTTTCATAAAACAACCAATACTCATAGTAGGAACACCATGTAAATCTATGAGATCTCTGAGCCTGACAATGAAAACAACAAAAAAACAATATTTTTAATTACAAATCTCTGGATCTCTGTGAAAACACAGATGAAACCACTTGTTGTTCACTGTTTTAGTTGAAATTTTCTGCATCTCTGTGAACACACAAAGTTTCCAGTATCCATATGAATTTCAATAGGGTTCCCTTTGTGCAGGAATTCAAATGGATTCTCTTTGTGGTGGAATACACATGGATTCCCTTTGTGGCCGGATACAGAGGAATTCCTTTTGTAGCGGAATACACAGGATTCCCTTTTGTGGTGGGATACAAAAGGATTTCCTTTGTTGCGGAATACAACATGATTTTCTTTGTGCCGAATGCAAAGGGGGTTTCCTTTTGTAGCGGTATACAACGGATTCCCTTTAGTGGCGGAATACAAAAGGATTTCCTCTGTGGTGGAATACAAAAGGATTCCCTTTGTGGCGGAATATGAAAGAATTTCATTTGTGACAGAATGCGAAAAGATTTCTTCTGTGGCGGAATACAGAGGGATTTCCTTTGCCTCCCGCCGCTTTTCTCTCTTCTCTCTCTCTTCTCTCTCTGTCTCTCTCTCTCTCTCTCAATCGCTCTCTTTCTTTCTCTGTCTACCTCTACTGTTTCTCTCTCTTACTACTATTACTATTATCATTATTATTATTACTACTACTACTACCACTACCACTACTAGTAGTACTACTACTACTACTACTACTACTACTACTACTACTACTACTACTACTACTACTACTACTACTA